TTAATGGTCTAAAGTTTGTATAATTCCGATGAAGATCGCATGCGTGGCGGTGAAGTGAGTAGATCAAACCTTTCCCTTTTCGTATTTTACTCGCACGCACGAATTTCGCTCCTATCGAAAAATCCTTTCTGACGTAGTACTGCAGTGCCCATAAGTGGATACGCTGCCTCGTCCCACATAAATGTGTCACAACGGAGTGGAGCGCAATATTCTGGAATCGCTGCTGTAGGAAGCGGCATGAGGCTCTGTTGTACAATCATTACCTAACTAACTGCCCCGAAAAGCGCGAGCCTTTGTCCAAATCCCGATTGAGGCAATGCGTTTCCCACACGGCTTAGTACCCTAAAGAAAGTAATCGCAAACTGCAGCGAAATACAGAAGCGATAACCGAAATAAGATCAGAACCTCCTTAATTACGTGGTCCTGTGTTAGTAGTTGGGGATTCGACCGTACCAGCTGCGTTTTCTGTATCAAAGTTCCCTCCATTCGTTGCCAGACCTTCTTCATTTCAGGCTTCTCAGCTTCTCACACGGCCAATGATTACCGTGCTTTGATGCTGTTCACCTTCGTGCTGCTTCATGGATACGCTCTGATCGAATTGCGAAAATGCCAAATGAAGGAGGAGCAACCGAACCGGTGGGTGCTCACTCGCTCACCACCCTTCTCCTGGCTTTCATTTGTAGATCCTATCATTTTCAGGTTGATGTTGTACATCGGGGTTGCCACCATGGGAGACAGCAATGCTCAACGGCTACATGTGGATGTACGCCACCGACCATTCGTGGGGAATAGACGTCGCCCCGCTGATCATCATCATCTGTACCACATGTTCGTCGCTTTTTACATTACCTTTTGTGTTTGGTAAACAGATTTAGTTTGCAAGGAAGCAATTTTTGACAGTGCGTTATAATTCGTTTTGAAAGCAGTTGCTATTCAAGCAGCAGTAAAATCTAAAGTTTTTTTTTTGATAATGGTGCTCCTTTCAGTAATTCGCGGCTGCTGTATACTGCTAGGCATTGCCATCCGAGCCCATCTTCTGGACCAAATTCGACCAACTCGAACACGTGACGCTACTGAGGTACGTTGCTTCACGCTCCGAAGGGTGGGCCAAAATTACGAGGACAAAGACATTACGTTCGTCAAGAGCGCATAGTAACGAATCAGTTCTAGAAAAGTGTAATTGATTCACATCGCAAACCAAAATAGGTTTGATGCGAGCCCTGCCACCTATGGCGTGGGAACGTGTGCGGTAGCACGCATATAACATGGCCGAAATGGTTGCGACGATTCTCTTTGAATACTTCAAGGATCACGTTTCTAGGGTCGCACCTTACTTGACTTGTTTTTACTCAGAGTTTCCAATACAGAAAATTGATGAACTGGGTGTGGGCTTCCAGTAACGATTCCTCGAACTTTATTAATTCAAAAAATTTCCTTTTGCAGAATTTAGTTTAAGTTTGAGCGCTCTGTGCCGTTAAAAAGTCCAAAATAGAGCGCTTTCTCAAAGGAGCATTGTGCAGCTGTCAGAAAGTATACAAAAGTGCATCTACTGGAGTGAAAATCACCTGTATCACCTGTCGTGCCGTTGATCGTCGAGTTGCTCGAGCGAGCGCCAGCAACGTCTCCATTCGCCCCTGTCTCGTGCTAGAAGTGACAATATTGTAGAAAAATAAGCAGCCTTCAAAGGAAGCGATTACGATAGAGCGCATCGATGAAGCATATGCACTGCACGAAGCAATTACCTGGCTGTCATAGAAGCGAGCTGTGGCGCTTTCATGTGGAAAGTGCGCTGGTTGCTGAGCAACTTCGAAAGCACTCCGCCCCAAAAGCGATCCACTAGTTTAGTTGGTGATTTGGACGAGCTGCGTTGCCAGCAGCGGCACAACTGGAGCAACTCGATTGGAGCGTGGTTTGGCATGGTGCCACCAAACGCGTTGCGGTGAACTCGTTCATACGTCCGCTTTCTGAGCTGTTACCTGTTCATGAGTGAAAACCAACGGCCAAAAAAGGGGTCCCGTTTTGCGTTTTCTTGACGGATTTCTCTGCTTTTTTCGCCACTGGCGTACCATTGAGCACCACCACGTCTCCTCTAAACCCTTCTGAACTATCGTAATCGCTGCCTTCAATCTCTGGGTTGATGTAAGCATAGAATGTGAATAGTTGCTTGGTAATCTAAAAATTAAGGAGACTCCAATTCCGGGGTGACACGAATAACTGATTTTTTGCAGATCTACGAGGTGGACACGGTGTTAGCAATGGACGCTGAAGATGACTCACCGATAATTTTTGACCTCGCCCGAGCCTGAATCATCATCAAGATCACTTCTTTTCTTTTCATATTGATTACCTATATAGTTCTCGTTATGTATCTCTGTTATCGCTGCTGTATGATCATGTGCCGCATTGTTACAGTCAGTACTTCAGTTACTTTACTAAGGCCTTATCGCTTCGCTTGTTAAGACTAGTCGTATGTTTTCAGCATACCCCCATCACATTTCATGTAAAGGTCTCTGTCTATATTCTTGATTAGCTTACATGGCCACCGTTTTCCTGCGTCTGGTTGTTGATATCCATCTGCGCAGCTTTTTCAGTCCCAGGGACCCCGCCCCGATTTCGTCTTCGTGACATATCCCTTATCTCAGATGCTATATGCTTACCGGTACTGTTGAACACTGTGTTAAAGTATAAAGTATAAAAGATTGAGACTTTCATCGAAAGGTGCGGAAGGGCAATCATTCACACCGCCCTTATATGTGTAAGCATGAAAGAAGGCGAATCCATGTCAAGTAAGTATTGGGTTGGTGCATAATATCGTAGCGCTCGCATTCGGCAAAAACGTTCAAAGCAAAACCCAAAAGCAAAGCCAAGCATAAAACTAATCAGTGATGTTCTTCTCGTCATTATTACGACTTTGATCCCATTTCGCGAAAAATTGCCGGGTCCAGAATTTAAAAAAGGGTACTGAGCCCGTTTTTTTCAGAGTCCTCATCATTCTCAATATGTACGACGTAAATATGATTTGTGATTGAGGGTCGATCGGAGTAAGTTTCGATGATGACGATAGATCCGAAAAACTCCCATTTTGGCAGCTTTTTTCTTTATATAGATTTTCGCCCACCTTGATTTTCCAACTTCTAAGCACCATATCTGAGTACATTTACAATATAGAAGAAAATAACAAACAAGGTTTTGTAGAGCGGAAGAAGTACTTTCAAATGATATATGTGATTTCCTTGGTAGTACTTGTATTCACTGAGTTTGTAGCTCGAGAAAAAAAAACGCTACGTATTATGCACCACAAATACATCGTGGTCCATAAAAGTAGAAGCTTTTTTTATTTTGTTTTTTGTATTAGCAAAGCCAATAGACAACGAAATTGTCTCAAATTTTCTTAGTATTCACAGATCCAAATCTTGAATACGATAGGCATTATAGTTCCACGAAAGAAGTAATCACAATTAGAAAATACGTATTTTTTAAGGAAATCCCGCGTCAAAAGTTTGTAAACTTTTTTTGTTACCACACTCAAGAAACTCCACTATTCGATGTTTGCATATTCCCGTTAATTTCAGCGTAGTTATCAAGTGTTATGTACTTTTGAAATGAATCCATGTGAAAAGGAAACATCATCTCCATAGGAAAAGGTTTTTAAACCCTACAGTCTAGAATACGAGATTGAAATTGTTTCTCTTTAGTTAAAACTCTACGAAAGCATTACTATCCAAAGTTTCTAACGTTGTTTGAGGTCAAGCAAGATAAGAAGAATGGCATATCACAAAAACTCCCTCACAAGAGACTTTACCCCTCTTAAGGACCTCGAGAGGCGGTTGGCATGTCCGTCTAAACGACATCCCCAACCAAGAAACTACTTTTTCGGGTTTTCGGATCCGGTCCAATGGAAGTCCAAGTGCAGGTACAGCATCGGCGGGACCTAGCGAATATTATGGAAGATGTCCCAACAATAAGCCATTGTTGGCTTCAAGAGCAGGATGGCCCAACTGGCTTCCGCACACTAACGGCTAACATGGACCGAAGGCGAGAGGTAAAAATTTGTGCTCAGCGACAACTGAGATTTCTGCCTTCCTGAAATGATGTTGTGGACCCTGTGAAGTGTTTTGTCAAATGGGAACCTCATTTTGAGGTATTAGATTCCAACAGTCAGAAATAGTGGAAGTACTGTCATGGATGAAGATGTGTCCGACCATTCGGCGATTCCCCAGTTCTTTGTATCCAGAGAAATGTGGGTTGGGCTAAATACAAGGATAGTCTGTAGAATACAATGCTTCTCTTCGATAGTCAGAACTAGCCGGAAAAGATGGGTTTCTATTGCGGAAATGACCCGATGCAGGCCTACCTCCTCACTGCCGCCTTCCTAAACCCAGAAAAAAAAGCTGTTATGAAGCGACCAAGTCAAGATCTGAAGTCTAACTGAGTTCTGCATCCCAAAAAAGAGCTGGCATGTCGTCAATCCACATTCCAGCGAAGAATCCCACCAAACAATTTGATTCAGTTCACAAAATGTAGGCTTCACTCAAAAGTTCCTAAAATAATGTTTAAATCAATTCAATAACAATAAAAACGATGCTAGCTAGAAGTTTCGATCTACTCAACAAACTGATAATTCCTCCATGGATTTAAGAGCTACTGTTGTGAATTCGCTTCGGAATTGAGGAGTTTCCAAACTTTTGACGCGCCGCTTCTTATAAAAATCGTATTTTTCAATTGCGATTTCGATTTTCAAAAGTGATGTAGCACATCGTATTCTACACTTTTTTCTATTAATATGTGAATTTGGAACAATTTCGTTGTCTATTGGCCGCGCTAGGTGAAAAACAAAAAGTTTCCAAACTTTTGACCGCTACTGTATGTTCCAAACCTCATATAACTACTAGGTCAGCTAGCAGTGAGATATCATGCGAAAGTTACTTCCGTTTCTGAGTTTTGAACACTATGAATCGGGTACCCGAGAAAGGAAAAAATCTCTTAGCAAACAGCTGAAAACCCAAGAAGAGCTCATAGCGAAAGGGTATTCTGAAGAGTGTCGCGAATCCCCAGCTCACCTTAAGACATAAAATTTCCGAAAAGATGTGAATAGAAAAGAAGAGCGGGCGGAAGAACTGCTCACCTAGTTGATGAGAAACAGTTTTACGGCGTATTTCGAGATTCTGCACCTTCTGGGGAAGACGTCTCCGGCTGTAATCTGCTAAGGACTCCTACGTTGCTAAAACAAATTTTGTTCATGCCTCTATCCAGTGATGCAAATCGTAGGCGCAGGAATATTGGGTAGACTACCGTGCGGGTCGTCGTATAAAGGTGCTCATCTATCGTCACTTGTGCTGCATAGCTCATATGGCGATGAACTTCTACACTGCTTTGCATAAATATAAGTCCAACTAAAGAGGTCTTGAAAATTAGCCTGATAGATATTTCTGAGAAAGACTGTGGAGGAAAAATGTAAAATAACTGTTGAGCCACGCGGTTTTATTTGTCCAGATATGATACAGGAGTATAAACTTCCTTTCACTGAATATCCGAAAATAGTAATCACTAATTATTTATTAATTCAGTGTTAAATAACCACCTCTCGTGACAAATCTGGAGTCCACAAAACGAGTCACAAAGTGAAAAGGAGCCTAAAATACTCGATATAAGGCCTGATTTACGATCTGAGCACGTTAACTGGAGTTTCAAGATCTCAGGAGTCCCCAGAGCCCCAGAAGAGCAAAACTGAGCAAGGAGTCAAAATGTGTGCGAGTAGAAACCGCAAAATTAAGAGCAAGTCGCAAGAGCAGCCTATGAGTCACTATCGCTCTTATATACGGAGTCGCTGGCGCAGCTTCCTGGAAAGCCAAAACAACCCAGCTGGGTGCTTTTTACCATGCCGCGCCAGCGACCCTTACATTCCAATGCGTTGATTAAGAGCAAATTACATATACAATCAGAAAGATCGCGCATATTCCGCGATATATTAGTTGATCAATATATACAAATAGGATCTTGAGATGTCCAACCCAGCTCCATTTCCGACAACAAAACCTTTTATTTTTTAGAAAATGGCCAACGTTCCGTTTTGCAAGAACATAAAGTCACACTTCCATGTTTCTCGATTGAAGTTCATTTGTTGTTATTTGGCGGCACTGTCTAAGAATGGATATTCAATTTGCTCCTTTTTTTAGTGATGCGAAAGTAACACGCTTCTTCGACTCAGAAAAAGACATGAAATTCTGCGCAACGGAGTGAGGACGATCTTCCCATGCAGAAATCCGCGCGTGATCTAAGCCCAGTTTACGTGGTTTTCCAAAAATTTGTCAAGAATCCTGCACCCTGGATCTATGGGAAACCTGAACCTCATTTTCTCGTTCGGTGCGATAATCGTCGGGTTCTCATCGAAGTCAACTGCGATTTCTTCCCAAGGTGGGGCCTCAAGAATCCAGCCTTCACAAAAAACTTAATTTCTCAAAGACAGCGTTTGGTGTGTTGGAGGAGCTCTGAAACCACCGTTCGACTGGAATTGGGTAGGGCACTTTTGTAAGGATTACGAAACCAATCGAAAAATCAAGACCTGGCTCTTTCATAATGTGTGATAGGTACCAGATTTCAGTTGGCGTATACTTTTTTACTGTCTGTCTTCTTTTTTCCCTGTTTTTTTTGATGCTACAGTGCTTAGGCAAAGATAAAAACTCAAAAAGCCAATCATTAAGAGAAACCAGTAAGAGACGTAATACAGCGTGCAAGGTAGCCAGGCACCCAATATGACTCTCGCGCTTTTTTTATTTTTTCCGGCCAAGTTGAGCCACAGTGAGAATTTTGGGCTCGCTCGGCTAATGAAATTTCGGTCTCTCAAATAAGCCCTACTCATTTCCCGTCGAACAGTGTGTGGTCTGAGAGTCTCTCTGGACACACTCTGAATTGTAGGCAATATAGACTTGAATTGATTTTTGTTTCCTTAGGCTTTATGCTGGATTCTTCACTTGTTTCAAGTTTTCGGGATCTACTCCGTAGCGACACGCAGCAGTCAGGCGACAACCGCTCGTGGATTCGATGCCGTCAATTCGCTTTCGACTCTACGAGAATGTGGGTCATTGCGTGTATCGCTCCCCGTCGTCCGTCTACTCTATACCAGCAGGTCACTTCCTTCTCCGCTAATCCCCATTTCGCATTTCGTGTTTTCTTGAAAAAACTTGGCCGTGAGAATCTCCTTTTGCTTTTTGACCTTTTACAACAATCATTATGATAATCTGAGCAGCGCTAAGGTGCTTTTTCACCACACACCAAATTATTTGTTTTGACTTCTATTTTGTTCACA